TGCTGTGTGCTGCGAGTTGCTGTGTGCTGCGAGTTGCTGTGTGCTGCGAGTTGCTGTGTGCTGCGAGTTGCTGTGTGCTGCGAGTTGCTGTGTGCTGCGAGTTGCTGTGTGCTGCGAGTTGCTGTGTGCTGCGAGTTGCTGTGTGCTGCGAGTTGCTGTGTGCTGCGAGTTGCTGTGTGCTGCGAGTTGCTGTGTGCTGCGAGTTGCTGTGTGCTGCGAGTTGCTGTGTGCTGCGAGTTGCTGTGTGCTGCGAGTTGCTGTGTGCTGCGAGTTGCTGTGTGCTGCGAGTTGCTGTGTGCTGCGAGTTGCTGTGTGCTGCGAGTTGCTGTGTGCTGCGAGTTGCTGTGTGCTGCGAGTTGCTGTGTGCTGCGAGTTGCTGTGTGCTGCGAGTTGCTGTGTGCTGCGAGTTGCTGTGTGCTGCGAGTTGCTGTGTGCTGCGAGTTGCTGTGTGCTGCGAGTTGCTGTGTGCTGCGAGTTGCTGTGTGCTGCGAGTTGCTGTGTGCTGCGAGTTGCTGTGTGCTGCGAGTTGCTGTGTGCTGCGAGTTGCTGTGTGCTGCGAGTTGCTGTGTGCTGCGAGTTGCTGTGTGCTGCGAGTTGCTGTGTGCTGCGAGTTGCTGTGTGCTGCGAGTTGCTGTGTGCTGCGAGTTGCTGTGTGCTGCGAGTTGCTGTGTGCTGCGAGTTGCTGTGTGCTGCGAGTTGCTGTGTGCTGCGAGTTGCTGTGTGCTGCGAGTTGCTGTGTGCTGCGAGTTGCTGTGTGCTGCGAGTTGCTGTGTGCTGCGAGTTGCTGTGTGCTGCGAGTTGCTGTGTGCTGCGAGTTGCTGTGTGCTGCGAGTTGCTGTGTGCTGCGAGTTGCTGTGTGCTGCGAGTTGCTGTGTGCTGCGAGTTGCTGTGTGCTGCGAGTTGCTGTGTGCTGCGAGTTGCTGTGTGCTGCGAGTTGCTGTGTGCTGCGAGTTGCTGTGTGCTGCGAGTTGCTGTGTGCTGCGAGTTGCTGTGTGCTGCGAGTTGCTGTGTGCTGCGAGTTGCTGTGTGCTGCGAGTTGCTGTGTGCTGCGAGTTGCTGTGTGCTGCGAGTTGCTGTGTGCTGCGAGTTGCTGTGTGCTGCGAGTTGCTGTGTGCTGCGAGTTGCTGTGTGCTGCGAGTTGCTGTGTGCTGCGAGTTGCTGTGTGCTGCGAGTTGCTGTGTGCTGCGAGTTGCTGTGTGCTGCGAGTTGCTGTGTGCTGCGAGTTGCTGTGTGCTGCGAGTTGCTGTGTGCTGCGAGTTGCTGTGTGCTGCGAGTTGCTGTGTGCTGCGAGTTGCTGTGTGCTGCGAGTTGCTGTGTGCTGCGAGTTGCTGTGTGCTGCGAGTTGCTGTGTGCTGCGAGTTGCTGTGTGCTGCGAGTTGCTGTGTGCTGCGAGTTGCTGTGTGCTGCGAGTTGCTGTGTGCTGCGAGTTGCTGTGTGCTGCGAGTTGCTGTGTGCTGCGAGTTGCTGTGTGCTGCGAGTTGCTGTGTGCTGCGAGTTGCTGTGTGCTGCGAGTTGCTGTGTGCTGCGAGTTGCTGTGTGCTGCGAGTTGCTGTGTGCTGCGAGTTGCTGTGTGCTGCGAGTTGCTGTGTGCTGCGAGTTGCTGTGTGCTGCGAGTTGCTGTGTGCTGCGAGTTGCTGTGTGCTGCGAGTTGCTGTGTGCTGCGAGTTGCTGTGTGCTGCGAGTTGCTGTGTGCTGCGAGTTGCTGTGTGCTGCGAGTTGCTGTGTGCTGCGAGTTGCTGTGTGCTGCGAGTTGCTGTGTGCTGCGAGTTGCTGTGTGCTGCGAGTTGCTGTGTGCTGCGAGTTGCTGTGTGCTGCGAGTTGCTGTGTGCTGCGAGTTGCTGTGTGCTGCGAGTTGCTGTGTGCTGCGAGTTGCTGTGTGCTGCGAGTTGCTGTGTGCTGCGAGTTGCTGTGTGCTGCGAGTTGCTGTGTGCTGCGAGTTGCTGTGTGCTGCGAGTTGCTGTGTGCTGCGAGTTGCTGTGTGCTGCGAGTTGCTGTGTGCTGCGAGTTGCTGTGTGCTGCGAGTTGCTGTGTGCTGCGAGTTGCTGTGTGCTGCGAGTTGCTGTGTGCTGCGAGTTGCTGTGTGCTGCGAGTTGCTGTGTGCTGCGAGTTGCTGTGTGCTGCGAGTTGCTGTGTGCTGCGAGTTGCTGTGTGCTGCGAGTTGCTGTGTGCTGCGAGTTGCTGTGTGCTGCGAGTTGCTGTGTGCTGCGAGTTGCTGTGTGCTGCGAGTTGCTGTGTGCTGCGAGTTGCTGTGTGCTGCGAGTTGCTGTGTGCTGCGAGTTGCTGTGTGCTGCGAGTTGCTGTGTGCTGCGAGTTGCTGTGTGCTGCGAGTTGCTGTGTGCTGCGAGTTGCTGTGTGCTGCGAGTTGCTGTGTGCTGCGAGTTGCTGTGTGCTGCGAGTTGCTGTGTGCTGCGAGTTGCTGTGTGCTGCGAGTTGCTGTGTGCTGCGAGTTGCTGTGTGCTGCGAGTTGCTGTGTGCTGCGAGTTGCTGTGTGCTGCGAGTTGCTGTGTGCTGCGAGTTGCTGTGTGCTGCGAGTTGCTGTGTGCTGCGAGTTGCTGTGTGCTGCGAGTTGCTGTGTGCTGCGAGTTGCTGTGTGCTGCGAGTTGCTGTGTGCTGCGAGTTGCTGTGTGCTGCGAGTTGCTGTGTGCTGCGAGTTGCTGTGTGCTGCGAGTTGCTGTGTGCTGCGAGTTGCTGTGTGCTGCGAGTTGCTGTGTGCTGCGAGTTGCTGTGTGCTGCGAGTTGCTGTGTGCTGCGAGTTGCTGTGTGCTGCGAGTTGCTGTGTGCTGCGAGTTGCTGTGTGCTGCGAGTTGCTGTGTGCTGCGAGTTGCTGTGTGCTGCGAGTTGCTGTGTGCTGCGAGTTGCTGTGTGCTGCGAGTTGCTGTGTGCTGCGAGTTGCTGTGTGCTGCGAGTTGCTGTGTGCTGCGAGTTGCTGTGTGCTGCGAGTTGCTGTGTGCTGCGAGTTGCTGTGTGCTGCGAGTTGCTGTGTGCTGCGAGTTGCTGTGTGCTGCGAGTTGCTGTGTGCTGCGAGTTGCTGTGTGCTGCGAGTTGCTGTGTGCTGCGAGTTGCTGTGTGCTGCGAGTTGCTGTGTGCTGCGAGTTGCTGTGTGCTGCGAGTTGCTGTGTGCTGCGAGTTGCTGTGTGCTGCGAGTTGCTGTGTGCTGCGAGTTGCTGTGTGCTGCGAGTTGCTGTGTGCTGCGAGTTGCTGTGTGCTGCGAGTTGCTGTGTGCTGCGAGTTGCTGTGTGCTGCGAGTTGCTGTGTGCTGCGAGTTGCTGTGTGCTGCGAGTTGCTGTGTGCTGCGAGTTGCTGTGTGCTGCGAGTTGCTGTGTGCTGCGAGTTGCTGTGTGCTGCGAGTTGCTGTGTGCTGCGAGTTGCTGTGTGCTGCGAGTTGCTGTGTGCTGCGAGTTGCTGTGTGCTGCGAGTTGCTGTGTGCTGCGAGTTGCTGTGTGCTGCGAGTTGCTGTGTGCTGCGAGTTGCTGTGTGCTGCGAGTTGCTGTGTGCTGCGAGTTGCTGTGTGCTGCGAGTTGCTGTGTGCTGCGAGTTGCTGTGTGCTGCGAGTTGCTGTGTGCTGCGAGTTGCTGTGTGCTGCGAGTTGCTGTGTGCTGCGAGTTGCTGTGTGCTGCGAGTTGCTGTGTGCTGCGAGTTGCTGTGTGCTGCGAGTTGCTGTGTGCTGCGAGTTGCTGTGTGCTGCGAGTTGCTGTGTGCTGCGAGTTGCTGTGTGCTGCGAGTTGCTGTGTGCTGCGAGTTGCTGTGTGCTGCGAGTTGCTGTGTGCTGCGAGTTGCTGTGTGCTGCGAGTTGCTGTGTGCTGCGAGTTGCTGTGTGCTGCGAGTTGCTGTGTGCTGCGAGTTGCTGTGTGCTGCGAGTTGCTGTGTGCTGCGAGTTGCTGTGTGCTGCGAGTTGCTGTGTGCTGCGAGTTGCTGTGTGCTGCGAGTTGCTGTGTGCTGCGAGTTGCTGTGTGCTGCGAGTTGCTGTGTGCTGCGAGTTGCTGTGTGCTGCGAGTTGCTGTGTGCTGCGAGTTGCTGTGTGCTGCGAGTTGCTGTGTGCTGCGAGTTGCTGTGTGCTGCGAGTTGCTGTGTGCTGCGAGTTGCTGTGTGCTGCGAGTTGCTGTGTGCTGCGAGTTGCTGTGTGCTGCGAGTTGCTGTGTGCTGCGAGTTGCTGTGTGCTGCGAGTTGCTGTGTGCTGCGAGTTGCTGTGTGCTGCGAGTTGCTGTGTGCTGCGAGTTGCTGTGTGCTGCGAGTTGCTGTGTGCTGCGAGTTGCTGTGTGCTGCGAGTTGCTGTGTGCTGCGAGTTGCTGTGTGCTGCGAGTTGCTGTGTGCTGCGAGTTGCTGTGTGCTGCGAGTTGCTGTGTGCATGCCTCGTGGCCATGGTGGAGTTGAGAAGGCAAGGGGAAGGACTTGCCCATGGGGGTGCCGTAACTCTTGGAGGGGGTACGCCACTCAGGGAGGGAGGGGGTACGCCAATCAGGGAGGGGGTACACCACTCAGGGAGGGGGTACACCACTCAGGGAGGGGGTACACCACTCAGGGAGGGGGTACGCCACTCAGTGTGGGGTACGCCACTTCTTCTCTTATCTCTTTCCTTCTTTCTCTCCCATCGCCCATGCTCCCCACATGCTCTCTCCATTTCATGCGCTCCCCCCTTCCTTCTCCTCCCATGCTCCCTCCTCTCCCACACCACCCCAGGTGATGAAGCGGGCGTCAGAGCGTGTGTTTGTGATGAAGCGGGCGTCAGAGCGTGTGTTTGTGATGAAGCGGGCGTCAGAGCGTGTGTTTGTGATGAAGCGGGCGTCAGAGCGTGTGTTTGTGATGAAGCGGGCGTCAGAGCGTGTGTTTGTGATGAAGCGGGCGTCAGAGCGTGTGTTTGTGATGAAGCGGGCGTCAGAGCGTGTGTTTGTGCCGCGCCGCTCACAGTGGGAGGCGAGGCGGCATCAGAGACATCACCTCCTCCACTTTCCCGTGTTCTCCCCATCCTTCATCTCCCCCACCTCCCCTCCAACCCTCCACAGGTGATGAAGCGCGCATCTGAGAGGGTGTTTGTGCCACTCACAGTGGGAGGCGGCATCAGGGACTTCACAGACGCCAATGGCAGGTGGGCCGTGGGACAGGTGGGCTGTGGGACAGGTGGGCTGTGGGACAGGTGGGCTGTGGGACAGGTGGGCTGTGGGACAGGTGGGCCGTGGGACAGGTGGGGCACTGATGCTCGTGGTGGTGCTGCTGATGGCAGGTGGTCAGTGGGATGGCAGGTGGGATGGCAGGTGGGTCGTGGGGTTGTGGCTGTGGTGTGGGTGGGCGGTGGGGCCATGGCAGGCGGGGAGTAGAGCGTTGGCAGGTGGGGCGGTGTGGAGTAGAGTTCTCAGTGTGGCAGCAACAAGGTGTTGATTGACTGCAGGATACTGGTCGGGGGCAAGCAAGGTCTGTGCGCGCGCCTCTCCCCCGACACTCCGTGCCACCCTCTCCCCCTGCACTGCACTGCCGCCCCTCTGCCCACGTGTCCTGGCAGGCCGTACTCAGCGTTGGAGGTGGCAGCGGAGTATTTCCGGTCAGGGGCAGACAAGGTCCGCGCGCCTTCACACGCTCCGTGCCACCCTCTCCTCCTGCTCTGCACTCCCACCCCTCTGCCCACCTTTTCTACCAGGCCGTACTCAGCGTTGGAGGTGGCGGCGGAGTATTTCCGGTCAGGGGCGGACAAGGTGTCCATCGGCAGTGAGGCCGTCTTTGCAGCGGAAGAGCTGCTTGCTTCCGGGGTGAGTGAGTCGCACTTGACTTTTGAGTCAACTTAAAACGAGGTGACTTTTGAGTCGACTCAAAAGAACATCGGCAGTGAGGCGGTCTTTGCAGCGGAAGAGCTGCTCGCTTCCGGGGTGAGTGACTCCGACCCCTCCTTGCTCCTTTCTTGCCGTGCCAGCCAGAATGCCTGCGGCCCCATATGAGTGGGGGCAGACAAGACAAGGTGTCCATCGGCAGTGAGGCGGTCTTTGCAGCGGAAGAGCTGCTCGCTTCCGGGGTGAGTGAGTGACTCTCACTTGTTGCCCTCCTTGCTCCTTTCTTGCCGTGCCGTTCCAGCATGCCTGCAGTGCGTGCGGCCCCACATGAGTGGGGGCAGACAAGGTGTCACTCGGCAGCACCTCTGCAGTTCCGCCCGCCCATTCCCCTCCCTCACATACTCCTCTCTCTGCATTTCTTCTGCCCCTTCACTGCTGTGCCCACTCCTGCCTGCCTGCCAGGGGCTCTTCCATCCGCCCCTACCCAACCCTGTGTGCATTCCTCACTGCCCGTGTTGCTCTCACTATGTTCATTCCTCACTGCCCCTGTTGCTCTCACTATGTGCATTCCTCACTGCCCCTGTTGCTCTCACTATGTTCATTCCTCACTGCCCTTGTTGCTCTCACTGTGTCCGTTGCGGCAAGTTCAGGAGAAGACAGGCAAGACGGGGATAGAGCAGATCTCCTACGTGTATGGCAACCAGGTGAGGGCTGTGAGGCAACCAGGTGAGGGCTGTGAGGCAAGCAGGTGAGGGCTGTGAGGCAAGCACGTGAGGGCTGTGAGGCAAGCAGGTGAGGGCTGTGAGGCAAGCAGGTTAGGGCTGTGAGGCAAGCACGTGAGGGCTGTGAGGCAAGCAGGTGACGCCACCAGGATTTCTCCCCCTTTTTCTTCCCCACTGCACTCATGCTATCTTCTCCCTCTCCCCTCACCTGGGTGCCGTGTCTTCTCTTGGCCTCTCTGCCTCTCTGCCTCTCCCCCTCTCCGCCTCTCCCCCTCTCCCCCTCTACCATCCCAACAGGCGGTGGTGGTGAGCATAGACCCTAAGAGGATCTATGTGACCTCACCACACGTCCTGCCTTTCTGAGTTGCTTACTCTCCCCCTCTCTGCCTCTCTGCCTCTCCCCCTCTCTGCCTCTCTGCCTCTCTGCCATCCCAACAGGCGGTGGTGGTGAGCATAGACCCTAAGAGGGTGTACGTGACCTCGCCAGACGACGTGCCTTTCAAATGCGTCAAGGCATCAACGCCAGGTGCACTGCACTGCATGCCCGCTCTGCTCCCTCTGCTCCTTTTTTGCCGCAAGTCTTTGGTTGAAACGGGCTTGCTGCTCTGCATGTGTTGCAGCGTATGGTTTTTGGGAATTCTCAAAAAACATACCCTCTGCTCCTTTTGTGCCACAAGTCTCTGGTTAAAACGGGCTTGCTGCTCTGCATGTGTTCTATCATCTGAGCCCCACGACTCACTTCTCACAGACTTTCTCATCTCTCTTATGCTCACCTTGCCACTCACCCTTCCTCCTCCTGTGGCTTATGCCTTGTGGCCTCCTGTCCTGTCTTTTCTTTCCCCTGATGCAGGACCCAACGGGGAGGAGTACGCATGGTATCAGTGCACGGTGAGAGGGGAGGAGTGATGCTGTCACGTGTGTGTGTGTGTGTGTGTCCGCGTGCGCGTGCGCACACATGCAAGCGGGTGCACACGTGCGTGTGCGTCTGTAAGCTTGCACTGGTGCTATGCATTGTATGTGTGGGTGGGTGCATGTATAACAAGGGCGCTCATGTGATAGCCATGTGACTGTGGGACAGGGTGATTCTCATCTCACCATGCTGCCTTCCCCTCTCACCATGTTGCCTTCCCCTCTCACCATGCTGCCTTCCCCTCTGACCATGCTGCCTTCCCCTCTGACCATGCTGCCTTCCCCTCTGACCATGCTGCCTTCCCCTCTGACCATGCTGCCTTCCCCTCTCACCATCGTAACCTCTGCTGCTGCACTGCAGGTGAGCGGGGGCAGGGAGGGGCGGCCCATAGGGGCGTTCGAGCTGGCCCAGGCCGTGGAGCAGCTGGGGGCGGGGGAGATTCTGCTCAACTGCATCGACTGCGATGGTAAGACAGTGGGCAGGCAGGGTGTTAACAACTTAATGTGACTGGCCCAGGCCGTGGAGCAGCTGGGGGCGGGGGAGATTCTGCTCAACTGCATCGACTGCGATGGTCAGTGCCATGCCATGGGATGATGATGAGGGCGTGACAGACATACCCATACTGAGGAGGCATGACTGACATACCCATACTGAGGAGGCATGACTGACATACCCATACTGAGGAGGGCGTGGCAGACTTACCCATTCTGAGGCGGGCTAGGTAGGTAGGGTGTTCATGTGGCTGGCGCAGGCGGAGGAGCAGCTGGGATGATGATGGTAAGGCATGGGGTGTTCATGTGTCTGACTTTTGAGGCGCCTCAAAAGATGATGATGGTAAGGCATAGGGTGTTCATGTGTGTGACCCAGGCAGTGCCTTTGATCTTCCCCGGGTGGGGCTGCTGTCCTCAGCAGTGAGCATTTCTGCCATCGCCAGCAGAGCAGCAGTGCAGGCATCCCGGAGCACTTCTCCCCGGTCTTTGCTCACACAGGCGCCTCTGCTGCCCCCTTCCCATGGCAGGTCGGCCGGGGCGTTGACTTGACCTGGTGGGGCTGCTGACTTCGGCAGTGAGCATCCCTGTCATCGCCAGCAGCGTTGCAGGCATCCCAGAGCACTTCTCTCAGGTCTTTGCGCACGCCGCCGCCTTCACTGCCCCCTTCCGTTCCTTCTCCATGTCACAGGCCAGGGCCAGGGATTCGAGGATCTGGTGGAGTTGTTTTGAGACGTCTCAAAACGCCTTCTTCATACACGTGGCTTTCCTTGTCCGTGTGACAGGCCAGGGCCAGGGATTCGACTTGGATCTGGTGGAGTTGGTCTCCTCTGCTGTGAGCATCCCCGTCATCGCCAGCAGCGAGGCGGGCATCCCAAGGCACTTCTCTCAGGTCTTTGCACACGCCGCCGCCTTCACTGCCCCCTTCCGTTCCTTCTCCATGTCACAGGCCAGGGCCAGGGATTCGAGGATCTGGTGGAGTTGTTTTGAGACGTCTCAAAACGCCTTCTTCATACACGTGGCTTTCCTTGTCCGTGTGACAGGCCAGGGCCAGGGATTCGACTTGGATCTGGTGGAGTTGGTCTCCTCTGCTGTGAGCATCCCCGTCATCGCCAGCAGCGAGGCGGGCATCCCAGGGCACTTCTCTCAGGTCTTTGCACACACCGGCGCCTTGGCTGCCCCTTTCCCTTCTCCCTGTGACAGGCCAGGGCCAGGGATTCGACTTGGATCTGGTGGAGCTGGTCTCCTCTGCTGTGAGCATCCCTGTCATCGCCAGCAGCGGGGCGGGCAACCCAGAGCACTTCTCGCAGGTCTTTGCTCACACTGGCGCCTCCGCTGCGCTGGCTGCCGGAATCTTCCACCGCAACGAGGTGAGGGGATTCAAGGGAGCTTAGCTGATGCCATGCCATGCCAGCACGGTCAACCGGAGGAAGGAGGTTTATTTGACGGTTTCAACTGAAAGGGAACTGTGTAGGTGTGTCAGCGCTAGCACTGTCAAGGCGCCTCTGCTGCTGTGGCTGCCGGCATCTTTCACGGCAACGAGGTGAGGGTCTCGTTTGGTGCATGTGGAGTGTAGTGCTGCATTTTCCCCAGGGAAGGGCTGGCCATCCTGGGAGTGCGCTGCGTGTGCTCTTGATTCTCTGTCCATGCGCTGCGCCCAACCCGCTTCCAATATGTGCGTGTGTACGCGTCCTTGCGTTTGTGTGCATGCTTGCACGTGTCCGTCTGTGGGGTTGTCCATTTGTGTGCACGTGTGCCTGTGTGCCTTCGTGTCTGTGTGCCTGTGTGTCTGTGTGTCTGTGAGCCCATTTGCCTGTGTCTCTGCGTGTGACGTGTGCCTGTGTGTCTGTGTCTCTGCATGTGCACGTGTGTCTCTGCATGTGCACGTGTGTCTCCCACAGGTGACAATAGAGTCGGTGAAGACGCATCTGGCAGAGGAGGGTGTGGAGACTCGCCTGCTGTGAGCCGCACAGAATCAAGCGGCGCAGCACAGATAGCTGTGGTGTGAGGCGGATAGCAGTGCCGCAGTGCAGGGGGCAGTGGCGCAGGGAGTCAAGCGTTGCAGCACAGACAGCAGTGATGTGAGGCGGATAACAGTGCCACAGTCCAGGGGGCAGTAGCGCAGGGAGGATAACATGTTGGTACAGCGTGAATGGCATGGCATACAGCTAGTGGGGAGGCTGCTTGGTCGTGACGCGAGCTTGGTGTTAGAATCTAGCAGCAGGAATGAATGAACTAGCAGGATGCAGGAGTACAAGTAGTTAACCCTAATTTGGTTGTACCCCATATGGGCTACCCCACTACAGCCTAGACAATATGCTGCACATACAGTTTGACACACCCCCATAGGCAAAGTGGGGGAGAACAAGGGGTCACACGACCAGTCAAGAGAAACAAAACAAGCTCAGGGTGGATCACAATGTCACCACGCATTCTGAGCACAAGCAAAGGGCCACAAGGCCAGTTCACATGCAGAGATATATATGCAGCAATGACAGTACAGTGTCGAGCTACCTAGCAAGAGCCAGCATGCAGGTATATATATATATAGATCACAGTACAAGCAAAGACTACAGCAAGTGTGGAAGCGTAGGCACAAGGCCTAACAGAGTACAAAAGCGCTGATGATCACCAGACGGAAGTGCATTGGTGAATATATCAGCAGTGTTGGCCCGAGTGGCCACGTAACGAAGACAAAGCTGGCCTCGCTGCTGCAACTCTCGAGCCAGGAAGTAACGCAGAGCAATGTGCTTCGTTCTGTGCTCCAGTCTGTGCTCCTCACACAAGGCAATGGCGGCCTTGTTGTCAACGTACAGCACTGGAGGAGAACGAGGCTGCTCTCCCAAGTCAGTCAGCAGGTAGGTGAGCCAGCGTAACTCCTGTGCAGCCATGGCGGTGGCGTAGATCTCAGCCTCACAACTGGAGCCGAGAACTGAAGACGAGCGTGTAGAACGCCACGAAACTGAACCAGAGCCAAGGCTGAAGGTGTAACCCTGTGACGACCGCTGAGTAGCCAGGTCGTCAACCCAAGAAGCGTCTGAGTGCCCAGTGAGGACAACTGGGCTCGTCCCTCCAAGCACTAGCCCCATGCCTGATGTGCTGCACAAGTAGCGCAGTACCCTCTTAGCAGCAGCCATGTGCTCAGGTCGGTGTCGACCAGGAGCCACGTAGCGAGCGAGGAGACCAAGAGGGTACGCGAGGTCAGGTCGAGTGCAAGTCATCAGGTACATGAGGCAGCCGACTAGCTCTGGGTAAGGACCACTCGGCTCTACGGACTCGTCCGAAGGTGGAGCTGAGAGCGTGTGACCTGTAGCCAGAGGAGTGGCCTGTGCTGAAGACCAGGTGAAGCCGAAGCGCTGAAGGACCTGCTGCACCATGTGTGACTGAGTCAAGGTGATGGTGCGGCGTGCTCTGTCCCGGGTGATCTGCAAGCCAAGGTAGCTGCGCAGCTCACCCAAGTCAGTGCACGTGTGTCTCTTCTGCAGCTCCAACTTCACGTGGGCGAGAGCCTCAGTGTCAGCAGTGGCAAAAACCAAGTCGTCGACGTACACGAGGATGTAGAACGGCGGCAGTGAAGTGTCTGTGCGCAGAAACAGCGACGGGTCAGCAGTAGAAGGCGCAAACCCAAGAGCCGCAAGTGTCGTCCTCAGTGTGTCGTGCCACTCACGTGGCGCCTGGCGGAGACCGTAGACCGGCCGTCGGAGGCTCCACTGGGTGCCAGGAGGGAACGACCCAGTGAAGCCCGAGGGGCGGCGCAGCCAGATCTCCTCGTGCAGGCTGCCCTGTAAGAAAGCAGTGCTGAAGTCAAGAGAGTGAAGCTCGTAGTCACGGTGAGCAGCAACATGCAGCAGCACCTGAAGAGTGGTCATCTTCGGGGTGGGGGAGAAGGTCTGGAAGAAGTCAACTCCCTCTCGCTGACTGAAGCCTCGAGCCACGTAACGCGCCTTGAAGACAGGCGGAGAACCTGGCGGCCGCTTCACCCTGAAAATCCACATGCCACTGACGATGTTCGCCCCAGGTGGGGGAACCTCGTCAACGTAGGTGCCCGTGGACTTCCAGGAAGCCATCTCTGCGTCCATGGCTGCCTGCCACTGAGAGGAGTAGGGACTCTCTATCGCCTCTGCGTAAGAGCGCGGAGTCGGGATGTCTGGTGCATCCGGGTCTCCCTCAGGGGCAAGTAGCGAGGACACAAGATGAGGTAAAGCAGCAGCGAGACACTGGAACTCCTCCTGCCTGTCCTCAAGGACGTCCGTGCCAAGAGCATACTCACCCCCGACGGACGGAGGACAGACAGGCGCAGACTCAGCAACAAGACTGGCGGCGTAGTCTAGACGACAGGCAGCAGCAAAGTCAACAAGCTCAGTGACCAAGGCAGACGCAGCAGTAGACTCAAACGACGGGTCAGTGACAACAGTGGCTAGGAGACGCGTGACAGTAGGGTGCTCAGTACGAAACCGGTCAGACTCAGGGTCCGGAACGGCAGGCAGAGAGGACGCAGGAGGAGACGGCAGAGGAACAGGCGACGGAGCAGAGGAAGGACGACGGACTACGAGGTGTGCGCCGGGGACAGCCGGCTGACGCGAACGAGGAACACGACGACCGGTACGACCAGGACGAACAGGCGAAACAGGACGCGACGCAGGCTCACGACGCTCAGCAGGACTACCAGTCTGCTCAATGTAAGGAGAAGGAGCAGGCAGCGGTGAGCCAGGCTGTAACGGAAGACCAGTAGACGACGGAAGAGTAAGAACCTGACGAAGAACAGAGGCAGACGGCGGCAGAGACGACAGAGACGGCGGAGCGAAGAACAGTCGTGTCGGCGCAGCTGCACCAGGACCAGCAGCTCCAGCAGCTCCAGTGCCTCCAGCAGCTCCAGTACCTCCAGCAGCTCCAGTACCCCCAGTAGCTCCAGTACCTCCAGCAGCTCCAGAAGCTCCAGGCCCAGAGCCGACACCTCGAGTCCCAGGGTCTCCAACCTCTGTGTCTCCAGCAGCAGCACCCCCAGAACTAGCACCTCCAGTCCCAGGGTCTCCAACCTCAGTGTCTCCAGTAGTAGCACCCCCAGAACCAGCACCTCCAGTCCAAGTGTCTCCAACCTCAGTGTCTCCAGCAGCAGCACCCCCAGAGCCAGCACCTCCAGTCCAAGGGTCTCCAGCCTCAGTGTCTCCAGCACGAGCACCTCCAGAACCAGCAACTCCAGCACCTCCAGTAGACAAAGGACCAGCACGACTCCTAGCTCCAGCGGCGCGACGCTGACGGCGACCGTACCAGTCCTGCAGCTGCTGTGGGGTGAGAGGCACACGTGGACGAAGGCGGCTACTCCAAGGAGACCGCGCAACAGCAGACTCAGAACCCTCAGCGCCCGCACCCCCAACGGCTCCAGAACCTCCGGTGTCAGTACCCTCAGCACCAGTACCTCCAGCGGCTCCAGAACCTCCAGCGCGAGCACCCTCAGCAGCTCCAGAACCTCCAGCTCCAGCGCCACCAGGACTAGGCCCTCCAGCAGCTCCCGAACCTCCAGCGCCAGCACCCTCAGTAGCTCCAGAACCTCCAGCGTCAGTACCGCCAAGCTCAGCACCCCCAGACCCCTCACACTCAGGCTCAGCACCACCAGGCTCTACACCCTCAAGCTCCGCACCCTCAGGCTCAGTACCCCCAGGCTCAGCACCCCCAGGCTCCGCACCCCCAGGCTCAGCACCCCCAGAAGTAGCACCCCGAGCAGGACCACTCTCAGTAGGACCTGAGTCACTAGTGACCTCAACCGGCGCAGTCAAGGGAGGAGGGTCTACCTGAGAAACACCTGAAGGAGCAGGACCGGGAGCGGGGAGGGGGTCTACCTGGGGAGCACCTGGAGCGAGGAAGAGCGGCGGGGGGGGGAGCGAGGCAGTGCGGTAGGGGAAGAGACGGTAAAAGGGAACCGACTCGTCGAACGTGACGTCCTGAGATGCAAAGACACGGCGCGAGGTGGGGTGGTAAAACTGCCAACCAGGCGCGTCAGGGACAAAGCCAAGGAAGACACAGGGAACAGCGCGGGCGGAGAGCTTGTCCGCGGTGGTATCGCGGACAAAGGCACGAGCACCCCAGACCCGGAAACGCGACGCATCGCCAACCTTCCCCGTCCACAGCAGTGTGGGCGAGGTCTCCGGCAAAGAGACACGGGGCCAGAGGTTGAGCTGATGCGCGGCGTACCGGACCGCAAACGGCCACAGAAAATGGGGGGCAGCCGCATGGATCATGGAGGTACGAGCGACCTCCATGACTAAGCCAATGCGGCGCTCAGCAACCCCATTCTGCTGCGGAGAGGCCGGAAGCGTGAATGACTGGGTGATGCCGTGCTCCGCACAGTAGGCTGCCAAGAGGTCGGAGGAGAACTCACCACCTCTGTCAGAGTGCAGACGCAGGACAGGAAAGTCCGACCGGAACCGCTCGCGGAGCTGGAGACGAACTGCGCGGATCCAGGGGATCAAAACAGCAGGGACATCCGCCTTGCTCCGCAAGGGGAAGACCGTGGTGTAACGCGTGTAGTCGTCGACAACCAGCAGGAAGTACCGCTCGTGGCCCTGTCCCTGGACGCGGGCTGGGCCCCACACGTCCAGGTGGAGCGTCTGCAGTGGAGCCTCTGTGGGAGGAAACGAGGAGGAGTGAGGAGCGGCGCACTGCCGCCCCTCGACGCAAGGAATGCAGGGCGGCGCAGGCGAGGGAGGGAGGGCAGGCAGAGACCTGGGGAGACCAGAGACCAGGGAGCGAGAGTGCATGCTACGCAGGCGAGGCAAGGAGGGGTGACCAAGGCGGTGGTGCCACAGGAGAGTGTCGTGCGACAAAGCGCGACACTCGCAGGGGGCCGCCAGCTGACCAGACGTAGACGCAGACGCAGCTACCTGAGGGGACTCAGTGGTCAGTGTGTACAGACTCGAGCCAGGTGCACGGGTGAACGTGGCCAAGTGCCGGCCCGTCCTAGCACACGTACAGTGAGTCACTCGCTGACTCGCAGGAGTGAACTGGTGAACCCCCCCATCCTGGAGGTCAGCTCCACTCACCAAGTTCGTAGAGAACGAGGGGAGGTAAAGACCTGACAGCGAGCCGGACGGGACGGCCGGACACGGCAGAACCGTGGAGTAGTGGGCAAGGACTGGACCCCCAGAGGGGTCTGCCAGGGAGACCGGGACTGGCCGACGGAGCGGCGTGAGTGCGGTGCAGTCGCGAAAGAAGGAGCGGGAAGCTCCTGAGTCAAGGGTGAAGGTGTGCGAGACCGCAGTGGGCGCAGTACCAGAGAGAGCAGACTCACCAGCACCTGAAGCCACGGCCTCACCAGTACCCAGAGCAGTAGACGTACTAGCACCTAGAGCAGTAGCCTCACCAGCACCTAGAGCAGGAGACGCACTAGCACCTAGGGCAGCAGCCTCACCAGGGTCAGGCGGTACGCACAGGCAACAGGTGTCAGAGGTCCACTGGTGATCCCCGTTGATCCTAGGGAAGGGTTACAGGCACGTTGGCCTGGGGGGTTATGGGCGCACTCACCCGCCACACAAACAAGCCCTTTTATCCCAGTGGTTAGTGGCTGGGATTCTGACATGGTATCAGAGCGAAGGTCTCGGGTTCGAATCCCGGTGTATGCACTTCGGGCATCCCAGTGCGGGGGGGTGTCAGAGGTCCACTGGTGATCCCCGTTGATCCTAGGGAAGGGTTACAGGCATGTTGGCCTGGGGGGTTATGGGCGCACTCACCTGCTACACAAACAAGCCATTTTATCCCAGTGGTTAGTGGCTGGGATTCTGACAACAGGCACGGTCAGCACTAGTAGACAATGCATACATGGCAGTGAGAATAGCATCATAGTCAAGCGCAAAGATATCTACCCTCTGTCCATGCAGCTCCAGCCAGGTGGGGAGCTCAGCCTCGTCGCCAAACACTGTGCGCCAGTCGTCGCTCAGACGGGCGAAGCAGCGGGACTGTGTGTGACCAAGCGTCCCACAAGGCTGACCAGTCCTAGCACCTGTGCGAATGACGTACGGGCAGCGAACTGTACGTGTAGACCTGCTACACTGAGCGTACCACTCCTGGAGCTGCCGAGGCGTAAGTGTCTCGCGTGGACGCCCCTGCAGCTGCAGCTGGCCACTGCTAGACGCTCCCAACTGACCAGCCCCAGGGCGACAGCTACGACGGCTACCGCGACAACCCCAGCTAGTATACCACTCACTAAGCTGCTGGGGCGTGAGAGGCTCGCGTGAACGTCGCTGGAGCTGCATCTGACCACCTGCCAGTAGCAGTAGCAGCAGCAGCAGCGCGGGCAGGGCAGGCGTGGCAGGCAGGCAGGCAGGCAGGCAGGAACGCAGGCAGGCAGGCAGGCCGGCAGGCAGGCAGGCAGGCAGGCAGGCAGGCAGGCAAGCAGACAGGCAGGCAGGCAGGCAGGCAGGCAGGCAGACAGACAGGCAGGCAGGCAGGCAGGCAGGTAGGCCGGCAGGCAGGCAGGCAGGCGCGCAGGCAGGCAGGCAGGCCGGCAGGCAGGCAGGCAGGCAGGCAGGCAGGCAGGCAGGCAGGCAGGCCGTCAGGCAGGCAGGCAGTCGCTCACCAAAGGCTGGGAGAGCAGGCGCTCACCGGGCGAGCAGGGCCGGCGCTCGACAGCGGCGACGTCGGGGCCGCAACACCGGCTGCAGAGCAGGGCCGAAGCAGCTGCAGGGCGGGGCCGCTTCAGCGGCAGTAGCAGGGTGGGGCCGCGTCAGCGGCAGGTCGGGGCCGTGGCAGCTGCAGGGCGGGGCCGCATCAGCGGCAGGTCGGGGCCGTGGCAGCTGCAGGGGGGGGGGGGAGGCCGCATCAGCGGCAGGTCGGGGCCGTGGCAGCTGCAGGGCGGGGCCGCATCAGCGGCAGGTCGGGGCCGAGGCAGAGGGCCGCGCGCGGCTCGGCGCGGGCTGTTGCGGGCCGCGCGCGGGCCGTGCGAGGCAGTAGCAGGCCGCGCGCGGCTCGGCGCGGGCTGCTGCGGGCCGCGCGCGGGCCTCGCGAGGCCGTAGCAGGCCGCGCGCGGCTCGACGCGGGCTGCGTGGGCTCGGCGCGGGCTGCGCGCGGCAGCTGCGAGCTGCGCGCGGCTCGGTGCGGGCTGCGCGCGGCTGCAGCGGGCTGCGCGCGGGTCGGTGCGGGCTGCGCGCGGCTGCAGCGGGCTGCGCGCGGCTCGGTGCGGGCTGCGCGCGGCTGCAGCGGGCTGCGCGCGACTCGGTGCGGGCTGCGCGGTCTCGGTGCGGGCAGCGCGCGGCAGCAGCGGGCTGTTTGCGGGCCTGACGGGCGTGTAGAGGCGGCGCGCGGGCCTTACGGGCCTCTAGGGGCAGCGCGCTGGCCTAGGGCAGCAGGAGGCAGCGCTTGGGCAGCACGTCACAAGGCAAGGCAAGGCAGGCAGGTACGTGGGGTAGCGCGGTAACCGCAGCGGTAGGTGGGCCCGAAAAAAAACGGTCCTACGGACCTTAGTGCTCTGAAACCATGTTAGAATCTAGCAGCAGGAATGAATGAACTAGCAGGATGCAGGAGTACAAGTAGTTAACCCTAATTTGGTTGTACCCACTACAGCCTAGACAATATGCTGCACATACAGTTTGACACTTGGGAGATGTTTGAGAAGTGGAGCAGAGAAGCTGATGGAATGCGAGTGCAATGACCAAACGGCATGTTTGTTAATCTTTGTCTGTTTATAAGCTAAGCTCCTATGTACTTTAACTAGCCTTGTAAGGAACAGCGACTCCCTCATGTTCGTCTCGCCGTAGCTACGAGTAGAGCATTGCACTTCTTCTGCCTTCCCGGTCAGTGCTAGGAAACTACTGCACGAAATCAACACCTAGGTTGTACCAAATCAACACCTAGGTGGTACCAAATCAACAACCACACACACACTAAATGGCAGCCAACCATCAACCACATTGATTCGTCTCCTCCGATCAACCGCATGCAGTTGCTCGCACCTCTGCTCCATCAGCCCCTATCCATCTCATAAGGTATCCCTCTGGCGCTGCCAGCTTGCGCCTCCTTGCCCTCTGACCATCCAGCTAGGGGCGCCCGATCTTCGCTTGTCCACTGGCCCCTACAGGTGGAAGTGATCAGTTCATGGTTGCAACACGAGGGGGGAATTGGAGGTCAGGCAACAGCGTAAGATGTGAGATGATACAAAAATATGGTAGAGTCTGCCAGTGCAGAATCTGCAAGTGCAGAGTCTGCCAGTGCAGAGTCTGCCAGTGCAGAGTCTACCAGTGCAGAGGCCGCCAGTGCAGAGCCTGCTCCGCTTTGTGCAGCCGGTGTCACACTGGCAAATTACCATACATGACAAGACAAGTTTCCATATATAAACGAGATTGTTGGCACTTACGAGGAGGAGCAACCCAGCAGAGCTTCTTAGCTGCGTTGAACACGAGGCCCTCAGGGCAATGGCACTGCGGCTTGCCTTTCTTCACAACGCACTCAGCAGCTCCACAATCCTCCTCACACATGGCTGTTGCGGGCATCGATCGAGGGACACAGAGAAAGAGAATGGCTTCTCAGGCATACAGAGGTAATAATAAAAGGAAAAACAAAAAACGAGGTTGGGTGTGTGTCTCGCTCTCTCTTATGGTATCTCTCCCGTGTCATCGATTCTGTCAGAATGAGCAAAGCACATGCTAGCGTGTTTGGAGATCTTCTCTAATGTGCACGTGACACACTTCAGACTAAGTAAAAACAACTCAAGCAGAACGCGCATGTGCTCGCACTTACTGATATCGCAGCCAACCGATAGCAGTGAAGCGACTCCATTGACAGTCCTGAGAGAGGGAAAGGTAAGGAGAGGAAAGACGAATGGTGAGGGCGTGTTACGACACTCGCCCCATTCACGCTACAAATGCAACGGGCAAGCAAGTTTTGGTGATAGAAGAGCGTCGTACTAGGTGCTGCAAGCACAGTGGAATAAATCACACAAGTCATGTGCATCACACTCACTCACCTTTTTGTGACGGGGTAGGAACTGCCCTTCTTCGCGGGACGAGCAATGGTAAGTTCCAGCTTCTGCTTGCAGTCCCAGTCAGCGTAGAACGACAGGCTCTTGCACATGGCGTTGCCAAGCGCGAGGCTGCCAGGCGCGACGCGCTTGGTATTCCACACGACGGTGATGTTGGTGTCGCCTTTGAGCACCGTGTCCAGGTTGTCACATGCTGTGGTGCCACTGGCCTGCTCTGCCGGCACCTCCGTGAGGAAGGTGGCGTCCCTCTCGCCCGTGAAGGTGTTGCTACTTGCCTGCACTGCCACCGTCGTCCGCACCAACGGGGCTGACCAGCCGTTGAGACCGTTGGTTGATCCGACGATGCCAGGGTCGTGGCCATTGCAGGTTGCGTGACGATGAAGGCAAGTTGGAGGCAGGGCAGGGGAGAGGAGAGGAAGGGGCCGGGGGGGGGGGGGGGGGGGGGGGGAGGACGGGGTGGTGGGGAGTGGGGGTGAGGAAGGTGTGGGAGGAGTGAGGAGGGGTGAACATTCCAAGCGTTGCCTCTCAGCAGCGCCTCCCAGTGCAGCCTTTTCAAACGCTCAAACGCTGAAATGCAAACGTGCGAGTGCCTCAAGAGTGCAGCACTCACCAAAGCACGTCTTGTCAGGCTCGTTGAAGTAAAGTTCTTGCTTGTTGCAATCGCACTCGAATAAGGTATGAGTGAGAGTAACGCAGTGAGCCTGTAACCCACACTCCACGAGCGCCAACACACGGGTCTGCAGAGGAAGTGATGGGGGGTTACGAGATGAAGCAGGGAAAGCGGGTAAAATGAGTGGAAATGTTGCTTTTGATCGTAAGCTGTGCACTCACCCACACACCAGCACTCACCCACACACCAGCACTCACCCACACTTCAGCACTCACTCACACACCAGCACTCACCCACACTTCAGCACTCACTCACACACCAGCACTCACCCACACTTCAGCACTCACCCACACACCAGCACTCACCCACACACCAGCACTCACCCACACACCAGCACTCACCCACGACACACGTCTTGTGGTCTTTGTCGAATACAAATCCATCCTTGCACTCGCACATGGGCATGCCAACGTCTACAAGAATAGCGCAGGTGGCTTCGCCACAATCCACGAAAGCACACAGGTCTGCACAGAAATTGATATTGTTTCAAGAAAGGGCAACGAGGCACACACACCGGCACAGAAGCAACGTTAGAACAAGGCACACACACCACACCAGCACAGAAGCAAGGTTGGGAAAGGGCGTTAGAACAAGGCATTTTCTGCTTTTGACTGTGCGTCGCTCAAGCGCACTCCAGCACTCATCCACACGCCAGCAATACAAGTCTACGGCCACTGGCGTGTGGCAGTCAGCGGACTCACCACCAGCGGTGCTGGCGAGGATCGCGAGGAATCTGACGGCAACGACGACGAGTGCGGCGAGGCCACACAGGCCGGACAGGCGCGCGCAGGGCTTCATGGCGACAGCGGACGGCTTAGCGATCGCGGCGCGCGGGTAGTAAACGGAAAGGCGGGGAGGCGCGGATCGTGATGACAGCGGACGGAGCGGGGAATGGGAAGACGTCCTCGACTTTTGAGACGTCTCAAAAGAGGGAGCGGGGAAACGGGAAGCCGTCCTCGGGATGGCGAGAAGTGTCTGGTCGCTGGAAGTTCCTTCACCCTTTTCAGTGTTGAATCGCCGGGACTGACGCCGCTGGTAGTCGCGACGAGGTGAGATTGGTTGCGACTGAGAAGGAGACGAAGGCACGCAATGAGCGAGAGCGGTGGGAAAGTGTGATTGAGGTCTCGGGAGTGGGCGTCATGTATGTATCGCGAGCTGGTCAATTGCATGTATTCGCCTTCGTTACTGTTGACCAATCATCTAGCAGACTCGCGTATCACGTAACGAGTGTGTCGCGAAAGTGGGACGGCGCACGGAGGGAGGCGCAGCAGGCCGCGTAGGGAGACATCAGAAAAATGTGAAACCGGCGGATCCCGCATGGTGGGGGTTCGGCTTGCCGATTTCTAGGTCGAAGTATGTCGTGCACGACAATTAATCGGCTGGTTGGGGCAGCGTGGCGGCGAGTAGTGGTCGACTGTCGGAGCAGTGTGGTTTACGGGATCGACCTGCGGTTGACGGGGCTGTGGTTGACGAAGCCACCTTCTGGGACTCTCTTCTCAACACAATCGGTGCTGAACTTGGAAAGTTGAGCAGATTGCAGACGTGGCAGTAAGTGGGTGGTTCTTGCCATAGAAATCGATCACAAACAGCGTGGGTGCGTTTTTCCGAAACTGTGCATCGCGATAGAGTTGGAGTTGTGTTACAATAAAATTGTGATTCTACTTAACAGATGATTTATGTTCATTCCTTTTTCCAGTTAACATAATTTTGAATGTTTAGTGTAATGCTGTTTCAGTGATCGTTCTTTTATACATTTGTTTTAACAATTTTCGTTTGTTACTAGTCTGTATTGGGTAGTATATTGTAACGTAAAATGGAATATATTTTTGAAATTGCAGAAGCATGGATTGCAGTGCAAACGACAAACAGAAAAGCCAAGATATCCCTCTGTACTTTTTCATTAATTTTCCAAATACATCAAATCATCTGAAATTGGAAGTAGATATTATGGTACAACATACCATCAAGCAAGCACATACACACGCGTATTTCCCATTCTACTACCACACACACACACACACACACACACCCACACACTAAATGACAGCCAACCATCAACCAGATTGAATCATGACCAGATTTTCCATGCAGTTGCTCGCACCTCTGCTCCATCAGCCCCTCTCCATCTCATACGGTATCCCTCTGGTGCTGCCAGCTTGCGCCTCCTTGCCCTCTGTCCATCCAACTAGTGTCGCCCATTCTTCGCTTGTCCACCAGCCCCTGCATAAATACCGTTCATGGTTGCAACGAGAGGGGGCAAATAGAGGGTAGGCCACAGGATAAGACGTGAGATGAGACGGAAAGATAGTAGAGCCCGCCAGTGCAGAGCCCGCCAGTGCAGAGGCCGCCAGTGCAGAGCCCGCTCTTCTTCATGCAGCCGGCGTCACACTGGCAATTACACGAGAAGTCTTCATATACATACACACAAATCTCGATTCTATCTTGTTGGCAGCAAACAACAAGGCACTTACGAGGAGGAGGAACCAGGCAGAGCTTCTTAGCGGCGTTGAACAAGAGGCCCTCAGGGCACTGGCACAGTGGCTTGCCCTTCTTCACAACACACTCAGCAGCTCCACAATCATTCTCACACATGGCTGTTGTGGGCATCAATCGAAGCATGCAGAGAAAGACGATGGCTTTTCAGGCATATGGAGGCGATAGAGGGAAAAACAAGAACGAGGTTGGGTGTGAATCTCGCTCCATCTTACAGTATCTCTCACGTGTCATCAATTCTGTCATAATGAGCAAAGCACATGCTAGCGTGTTTGGAGATCTTCTCTAATGTGCACGTGACACACTTCAGACTAAGTAAAAACAACTCGAGCGGAACGCGCATGTGCTCGCACTTACTGATATCGCAGCCAACCGATAGCAGTGAAGCGACTCCATTGACAGTCCTGAGAGAGGGAAAGGTAAGGAGAGGAAAGACGAATGGTGAGGGCGTGTTACGACACTCGCCCCATTCACGCTACAAATGCAACGGACAAGCAAGTTCTGGTGATAGAAGAGCGTCGTACTAGGTGCTGCAAGCACAGTGGAGTAAATCACACAAGTCATGTGCATCACACTCACTCACCTCTTTGTGACAGGGTAGGAACTGCCCTTCTTCGCTGGACGAGCAATGGTGAAGTCCAGCTTCGCCTTGCAGTCCCAGTCAGCGTAGAACGACACGCTCTTGCACATGGCGCTGCCAAGCGGGAGGCTGCCAGGCGCGGCGATGGTGGCACATGCACTCACTTTTTCGTGACGGGGTAGGAACTGCCTTTCTTTGCCGGTCGTGCGATGGTAAAATCCAGCTTCTGCTTGCAGTCCCAGTCAGCGTAGAACGACACGCTCTTGCACATGGCGTTGCCAAGCGCGAGGCTGCCAGGCGCGGCGCGCTTGGTATTCCACACGACGGTGATGTTGGTGTCGCCTTTCAGCACAATGTACAGGTTGCTGCACGCGCTGCTGCCGCTGGCCTGCTCTGCCGGCACCTGCGTCAGGAAGGTGGCGTCCCTCTGGCCTACGAAGGTGTTGCCACTTGCCTGCACTGCCACCGTCGTCCGCACCATCGGGGCTGACCACCGGCCGTAGAGACCGTTGGTTGATGCGACGATGCCAGGCCGCGTGACGACGATGGGGGTTTGAAGGCGTCAAGTTGGAGGCAGGGCAGGGGAGAGGAGAGGAAGGGGGCGCGGGGGGGGGGGGGGGGGGGGGGGGGGTGGAGGGGGGGGGAGGTGGGGAATGGAGGGGGGGGGGAAGGTGCGGGATGAGTGAGGAGGGGTGAACATTCCAGCGTTGCCTCTCAGCGGTGCCTCCCAGTGCAGCCTGTTCAAACACTCAACGCTGAGATGCTAGCGTGCGAGGCTTCAAGCAATGAAGTGCCTACAGGTCAGCAGTGCAGCACTCACCAAAGCACGTCTTGTCAGCCTCGTTGAAGTAAAAACCTTGCTTTTTGCAATCGCACACGAATTCAGTAGGAGTGAGAGTAAGGCAGTGAGCCTGTAACCCACACTCCACGCCGGTACACGGGTCTGCAGAGGAAGTGATGGTGACGCAGGGGAAGCGGGTTAAATGAGTGGAAATGTTGGCTTTGATTGTAAGCTGTGCACTCACCCACACACCAGCACTCACCCACACACCAGCACTCACCCACACACCAGCACTCACCCACTAAACACCTCTTGTTGTCGCTGTCAAATACAAAGCCATCCTTGCAATTGCACACGGGCGTGTCACCCACATCAACAGTGCAGGTGGCTTCCCCACAATCCTCGTTGGCACACGGGTCTGCACAGAATCGTATTGTTTCAAGCAATGGCACAGAGGCACACACACCGGCACAGAAGCAACGTTAGAACAATGCATTTTCTGCTTTTGACTGTGCGTCGCTCAAGTACACTCCAGCAGTCATCCACACGCCAGCAATACAAGTCTACGGCCACTGGCGTGCGGCAGTCAGCCGACTCACCAGCAGCGGCGCTGGCGTGGGTCGCGAGGAAGCTGATGGCAACGAGACCCGCGACGAGGGCGGAGAGGCCACACAGGCCGGACAGGCGCGCGCAGGGCTTCATGGCGGCAGCGGACGGCGTAGCGGTCACGGCGCGCGGGGGAACGGGGAAGGCGGGGAGGCGCGGATCGTGATGACAGCGGTCGGAGCGGGGAAACGGGAAGCCGTCCTCGGGATGGCGAGAAGTGTCTGGTCGCTGGCAGTTTCTTCACCCTTTTCAGTGTTGAATCGCCGGGACTGACGCCGCTGGTAGTCGCGACGATGCGACTGAGAAAGAGACGAAGGCACGCAATGAGCGAGAGCGGTGGGGAAGTGTGACTGAGCTCTCGGGAGTGGGCGTCAATGTTTGAGTCGCGAGATGGTCAAACGCAAATCTAGATTTATTCGTCCTCGTTACTGTTGACCAATCATCGAGCAGACTCGCAGATCACGTAACGGGTGTGTCGCGAATGTGGAGAGGCGCACGGAGGGAGGCGCAGCAGGCCGCGTAGGGAGGAAGAGGTGGGGAGTGGAAACTCAGGGGAACCGGGCGCAGCGCCGGAACCGAAATTCGTGCATCGCTCGACCTTAGGACTAGGCGGCGATGGTGTTGGCGCAGCGAGGAGTTGATCGGGGGTGTGCTGACTGTGGCCATGATGGGCACAAGGGGGAGAAACGCGAGCGGATGGAGGAGGGGGCGGCGATTACGGAGGCAAGCATAGGGAAGGCGCTCAGCGTGCAGCTAGTGAACGCGATCCAAAATCCGCGGCGGGGTGCAATGGCAGAAAAGGTTCCGCCTCTAGTAGCAGTAGCGCGATCGAGCTCTCTGGGTTGTGAGAACAGCGAGACTTGCGGGGAGTGAAGGACGAACGCGTTACTACCAACCGTCACCGGGTTCTGTCCCTTTTCTAACCTTTTTGTTAACTTTTTAGCTCTTTTCTACACACACAAACAAAGATAAACCGAGCTTCACCGTTGGTATGTTCATCCATAATCCACACTCACCGTTGACTTCCCCAGCAGCGCACTTCGGCAGTGATCCGAGTTTAATTTTTAGCCTAAGATTCGAGTTCATCGTGGTATGGTATGGTCCGAAGTGGTGAAATCCAAATACCGCGCCCAAACCTTACTGACCGTATTCAACCTTGTCAATCCAACCCGCGTTTGCCCAGCATAGAACGCTCTCCCACGCGAGTCTCGCGGTAGATCCAATGAGCCTGTGCGGTATGTATGCACAGCAGTACAGTACTGGAGGCGGAAGCCTTTCTGCCTTGCGCACCCCCGCGATTCCCGCTTTATGTTGCTAGCTAGCTAACGCGTTCAGCAGGCGCACGCGGGAAGCTCTTCCTGGCGCTTTCTGGAGGGCCTCACGTCGCTCCCGCCATTGCCGCCCGAGTCGGTCACTTCTCTCGCGTTCCTCCTTCTGCGTTCCTCCCCCTGCGGCCATCATGGCGGGAATCGTTAGAACACCCCCCACTGACTCCTGCCCGTTGCGCCAACACGATCGCCGAGGACTAGGTCCGCACGGCAGACGCCACATCATCGTAGGGTCGCGCGATCCCCCCAGCGCGCCTCTTGCTGCGCACGGTCGCTGCGCGTGCCTCATCTTCCCGCGATGGAACGCGTGGATTATCCGCCGAGAGTTAAACTATCACTCAATCTCAGCACATAGATCGACGCCCGCTTTCAAAGCCGCACATACATCTTTCCCTCCTCTCACACCGTTTCTCGCCGCCGTTGCGTAAATCTCGTCTCCTCCGTTTTGGCCATTGTGTCGCACCTTCGAGGTCCCGCTTTTCCCCATCGCGCCGTGATCGCTGTTCCTCATCTCCCCATTTCTCGCGACGTGATCGCTACGCCGTCCGCTGTCGCCATGAAGCCCTGCGCGCGCCTGTCCGGCCTGTGTGGCCTCGCCGCACTCGTCGCGGGTGTCGTTGCCATCAGCTTCCTCGCGACCCACGCCAGGGCTTTTGATGGCAGTGAGTCGGCTGACTGATGTTGGAACGCCATGGCACCACCATGGCACCACCATAACACCACCATCGCAGACACACCAAGGGATGCTCTCTCGTGCTTTCCACGCTCTTCCTCGTCTTTCTCTCCCTTGAGCTCCTAATTGACTTGTTTCTCACGCTCGAGCATCGGTCTAACAGTGTGCTTGCCCTGCTGCATGTCGTGCGGAACGTGCGTGAATTCGCTCTGCAGACCCGTGCGCGGGCATCGATTGCGGCTCCAGTGCGTCCTGCATGGTGCAAGATGATGGAAAACCTGACTGCTGGTGCGAGGATGGTTCTGCCTTCAACAAAACGGACAAGACGTGCTACGGTGAGTGGTGGAGGGCGAGTGAGCCAAATGCGATATCATGCTCTTCTTCTAGCGGTCTTGCTTCTCACCTTCTTCGTTCTCACCTCTTGTTCTCTCGCTCAGTGTGCTTTGAACAAAGGGTTTGTGGGCGAGTGCGAGTGTGGTTGAGTGTGCGACTGTGGTTGAGTGTGCGACTGTGGTTGAGTGTGCGACTGTGGTTGAGTGCGCCGCGACTGTGGTTGAGTGCGCCGCGACTGTGGTTGAGTGCGCCGCGACTGTGGTTGAGTGCGCCGCGACTGTGGTTGAGTGCGCCGCGACTGTGGTTGAGTGCGCCGCGACTGTGGTTGAGTGCGCCGCGACTGTGGTTGAGTGCGCCGCGACTGTGGTTGAGTGCGCCGCGACTGTGGTTGAGTGCGCCGCGACTGTGGTTGAGTGCGCCGCGACTGTGGTTGAGTGCGCCGCGACTGTGGTTGAGTGCGCCGCGACTGTGGTTGAGTGCGCCGCGAGTGTATGGTCATAAGAAAATACCTCGTGGAAAACCTCCATGAACCCCGCTCTTCCGTGCAGACGCGTGTAGCAAAATGGATTGCGGGCCAAGTGCGTCTTGCGTGCAAGAGTCTCCTGATCCCAACAGCCCTCCTGAATGCGTGTGCAACAATAATAAAGCCTTCAACAAAGCGGACAAGACATGCTACGGTGAGTGAGTGGAGAGTGAGGAAGTGCACAATTGACGCGGGAGTGGATGAGTGTGGTATGAGTGCACGAATGACATAGTGGCTGAATCTTACTGGTGAGCGCCTCAGCTAGAGAGTCAGGGCGAGTGTACGAGTGGGGTGAGTGTGCGAGTGGGGTGAGTGTGCGAGTGGGGTGAGTGTACGAGTGGGAGTGAGTGCACGTGTGGGAGTGAGTTCACAACCGTAAGCAAGAGTTCTCTAGCCCTTGATCCTATTGCCCTACTCACCTCGGAACCACCCTCCCAAAACATCCTCTGCAGATGCGTGTGTTGCCTCTGGCAAGGAATGTGGCGCCGATGCTTCCTGCGTTGCGTATCGCAATTACGATCCCGAGTGCCAGTGCAACAAGGCCGGCATGGTCTTCAACGAGCCTGCCAAGACGTGCTTTGGTGAGTGCTCCACTAGAGATCTGTAGACACTACAAATTTTTGCACAAACACAATTTCCTGCAGACATCACTCGAGGCATTGCTGAGCTGCTTTCGTCTCCTCACTCCTCCTGCACCTTCCTCCCTGTCTGCCCTCTTCCTCTCCTTTACCCTGTCCCCCCTCAACCCAACGTCTCCAAACCCCTATCATGGTCACCTATGCCGGCCGTCCACGGCATCGTCACACCAAACATTGCGTTGCGCCAACTGCTCAGGCCCGTTGGTGCGGACGGCGGTGCAGCTGAGTGGGTGCAGCATCAAGGATCAGCTCACCTTCGCCACCTCACTCTTCCCTCACCTTCCCCCCATCTGCCCTCTTCCTCTCCTTGACCCTATCGGCCGCCCAGGCCCGTTGGTGCGCACTGCAGTGCAGCTGAGTGGGCGCGGCATCAGGGATCAGCTCACCTTCGCCACCTCGGTGCCGGCAGAGCAGGCCAGCGGCACCACTGTGTGCGCCAGCAGCGACCTCAGCTACAGCATTGGCGGCGCTCAGATCACCGTCGTGTGGGACGCCCCGAAGCTTCGGAGCTCTGATTCCCTGAGGCACGAAGCGGTTGGCAACGGCATGTGCAAGAGCGTGACATTCTACTCTGGCCGCGGCTGCACGGGCCAGCCGGGGCTCACGATCGCACGCCCTGCGAAGAAGGGGCGTTCCTACCCTGCCACGAAGAGGTGTGTGATGCACGCCGCATGGTGTGAGCGTGATGCACCCCACATGGTGTGAGCACGTGCAGGAGCGTGACGTTTTACTCTGGTTGCGGCTGCACGGGCCAGCCGGGGCTGACGATCGCACGCCCTGCCAAGAAGGCCCGTTCCTACCCCGCCACGAAAAGGTGTGTGAGCCTGTGCGGGCATGATGCACACCATGTATTGTGTGAGCGTGATGCACACCACATTGTGTGTCCGCATGATGCGTGCCATCTAAAGTGTGAATGGAGCGACTGTCATGATTCGTCGTCCTCATTCTTTGTTTTTCCCATCCTTTTTTCTCCCTCTCTCAGGCCTGTCAATCCGACTTATTCACCGCAATCTGTTGGCTGCAATCTCAGTAAGTGCGAGTGCATGCACATACTACAGATTTTCTCCATACACTGTATCATGTGTCTTACTCATTTTGACAAAATCAATATTATGGGAAGAGAGATGTGGTAAGAGAGAGCATGGCACGCGCCCAACCTCTTCCCCTCATCTCTCTTTTTTGCCTCCCCATGCCTCTCTTTGCTACTGGCCCCTTGTCTCTGCATGCCTGGTTTGTTTTCCGCTCTGTGCTGCCCACAACAGCCACGTGCCACATGGATTGTGGAGCTGCACAGTGTGTTGTGAAGGACGGCCAGCAGCAGTGCCAGTGCCCCGAGGGCCTCGTGTTCAACGCAGCCAAGAAGACCTGCCGCGACCCATTCCCTGCACGTAAGTGCCTTATTGTTTGCTGCATGTTTTCCAACAGTTTTGGAAGAACCAGCCGGGAAGCTTCTCTTGTAAAAAGCTAGTTATCAGTGTGCTGCCGGCCACAAAAAGAGGAGCGGGCTGCTGCGCTGGCGGGCTGCTGCGCTGGCGGGCTGCTGCACTGGTGGGCTGCTGCACTGGTGGGCTGACCATGGCTTTGCTTCAGTAGCTGGTGAACAAGATGGCAAGATGGCAAGAGGGTAAGAGGGTAACAGGGGGAGAGACAGAGCTTCGTGTGAGTCTAGTTGGAGTGTGTTTTGGTGCTATTGTGTCATTGCTCCTCCCCTCCTCCTTCCAAGCCTTTCGCTCTCATTTCCTCCGCCTGCTGCCCCACCCAGCCTCATGCTCTTTTTCCTCTCCCCAACCTCCCCACCTCCCAACGCCACCAGCCAAGTGCAAGCCTGCGTGCACTGCTGGTGCCCAGTGCATGTTCGTGGCAGGAAAGTCAGTGTGCGAGTTTCCAGGCTGAGGAAGAGCAAAAGAACAGGTAAGGACGAGAGAGAAACGCATGCTCTGCTTTGTGAGGGAGGGCAAGCCGCGGTGCCAGTGCCCCCTGGGAGCTTCGTGTGTAACGATGTCTTCGCCATTTGTTTCATGTTTGCCTAAAAATAAGAATCAATCAGCTTCTCGTGTGGGCCAGTAGTGTGGGCTTTGCACTGGCAGGCTCTGCACTGGCAGGCTCTGCACTGGCAGGCTCTGCACTGGCAGGCTCTACCATATTTCTGTCTCGTGATACTTCTTATGCTGTGGCCTGCCCTCCATTTACTCCCCTCCCCTTTCCCCCATTTTTTTCGCAATCATGAACTGATCATGTGCACTCTGCAGGGGCTGGTGCAGAAGTGACGAATGGGCAACCCTAGTTAGATGGGTAGGGGGCAATGAGGTGCAAGCTGGCAGTGCCAGAGGGATACCGTATAAGATGGATAGGGGCTGATGGAGCAGAGGTGCGAGCAATCGCAGGTGGTTGCTTGGAGGTTAGGAACCAGCTTTGATGGTTGGCTGAGTCATTGATGTGGGTAGGTAGGTACTCACTAACTTACATGCTCGCTGGTCTGTTGTACGGTATCATAAAGTCTAATCTTTGTTTCTTTAGGGGAAGCCCCCACTTACGTTGGGTTAGTGGTAGGCTGAAAAACAACTGTTGGCTAGGAAAGATAGTCTGAAACAGGGCCCAAAATAGGTTTAGGTCCACTCTTTCAAATCAGGGTTCCAGGCCCCCAGTACCCTGACTGTTAGGGTAAAATATTTCGTACCCTGCCAAAAACAGCCTAAAAAAACATGTACACTGATTTTAAAAGGATGAAATGGTTTTTATTTATCGATTGCACTTCTTAGAACAAGACTCCACCAGAACATGTCTCAGTTAGTCAGGGCGTGTAAAATCGGGAACTCCAAAATTCGGCCACAATCCATCGGGCCGTTTCTGCGAAAGTAACCAGTTTGCGACTTTCGTTTCTCAAGTGGCGACAGTCGTGAATTTCGCAAAAAAATTACGAATTTGATGGCTGTTTAGAATGTCGACAGGAAAACAACGCCGAGTCGACTCCAAAACGGCCAGGCAGTCGACACATTGTGCGACAGTCGCCTGCGACGTCGGACAGTTATGTATAACGACAGAATTTGTGATCTCGTCAAATGAAAATTATCGTCGTCAACTGTGCGACCCCGTCGCACATTCTCAAGTACTGTAGTAACTGCAAATTTTACAAATTTTCTCGATCCGGCCTGCAAATCGGCCACCAAAGTTGTAAAATCGCCAAAACTGTACATGGTGGCTGTAAAAGAGTCGACCGTGATTCGGCCACCTCGTCGTTGTTCGCGAAAAATATGACGACCACTTGGTCGTCGGAAACCCGGCCAGACCCCATTTTCAGAATTGCACGGGGATTTTACACGCCCTCAGATGTGAGGCTAGAATTCCGAAGGTCGCAGGTTCGAATCTGGCTGGTGCACAAAATTTTTTCGCAGCTTCGCAAGGAAAACTCTCGCTAAGAGGATTCGGTATCTGTGAAGTATACAATGCATCCTGATATCGGCAGGGTAACAGAAATCGTTATCAGTGTAAATCAAATCTTAGCCTGTTTGCTCTAGGGTAATAAATTTGATACCCTGTTTTTGCAAGGGTAACTGGGAAAAAGCGGCCTACCATCAGGGCAAAAAGGGTATTTTACCCTTGAAATTTGGGGCCTGGTCTGAAATAATACACCATCTTACACTGGTAGTAGGCACAGAAGAAAAAGGCTGGAAAAAGGTTCAGTTAGTGTAAAAGGTTTGAAACCTGGGGGTTGCTGCTGGTGTATTTAACCTGTCAAACAAAAGGCCTCTCCCTGATCGTCAAGTGTCCTCTGTACACACGCATGTCTGCAACAAGCCAATCTCAGGTCAAGTAAATTTGAGGGATATTGTAAAGCTCCAACAAGTCGTCAAATTACGGACATTTAGATTAGAAGCGCAACTGTCAGAATGAAGAATGGATGATGCATTGATGTTGGTTGGGGTACATATAGCTAACCCTAAGTTTTGTACCCCCTAAGACAAACCTCACTATAGGCTACAACATCTGACACACCCCCATAGCCTAAGTGAGGGGTGTCTAGCAGAACCAAACGAGTACGGTCACAAGACCAGTCCAAGAAACGAAGCTCAGGGTGGATCACAACGTCACCACACAGTCTGAGCACAAACAACAGTGGCCACAAGGCCAGTCCAAGAAGTAACAGAGATATATAGAAAGCAAAGTAAACAGTACACTCAAGTCTAAGCAACACGAGAACCAGTGTCAACAAGGCCTAACTGCACACAGCACCTCTGGTGGTCACAAGGCGGAAGCGCCTTGGTGAAGATGTCTGCAGTGTTGGCCTCGGACTCCACAAACTCAAAGCGAGCCTGTCCACGCCTCTGCAACTCTCGCAGAAGAAAGTACCTGACGTGAATGTGCTTCACTCTGCTCTCCAGTCGTGGCTCTCGACAAAGGAGAATAGACGCCTTGTTGTCAGTGAACAAGGTCGGTGCAGAGCTCGGCCGCTCACCAAGGTCGGTGAGCAAGAAGGTCAACCAACGCAGCTCCTGTGCCGCCATGGCACCAGCGTAGATCTCAGCCTCAGCTGTAGAGGTCGAGACCGAAGAGGTCTCAAAGTAACTAGGCAAGAATGAATGAACTAGTAGAAGTTTGGGTACAAATATGAAACCCTAGTTGGGGTTGTACCCCATATTGGCTACCCCACTACAGCCTACAAGCATAATACAGTTTAACACACCCCCATAGGCAAAGTGGGGGAGAACAAAGGGTCACAAGACCAGTCCAGCAAAGCAAAGCAAAGCCCAGGGTGGATCACAACGTCACCACGCTCCGAGCACAAGTAAAGGCCACAAGGCCAGTTCACATGCAGTGCTAGATATAGTACAAGACAAACAACACAGTGATCAAAACCTAGCAAGCAAGTAACAAGATATATATAAAGTACAGTACAAAGAATGTCAAGCAGTGAGCAAGTGAGGAAACGTGGACACAAGGCCTAAAGAAGTACAGTGCCGCTGATGATCACTAGGCGGGAGCGCCTTGGTGAAGATATCAGCAGTGTTGGCCTTCGAGTCCACGTACACAAGCCGAAGCTGACCGCGCTGCTGAAGCTCTCGAGCAAGAAAGTAGCGAAGAGCAATGTGCTTCGTCCTGTGCTCCAGTCTGTGCTCCTGACACAAGGCAAGAGCCGCCTTGTTGTCACCGTACAGAACTGGAGGAGAACTAGGCCGCTCTCCCAAGTCAGTCAGCAGGTAGGTGAGCCAGCGTAACTCCTGTGCAGCCATGGCTGTGGCGTAGATCTCAGCCTCACAACTAGAGCCGAGAACAGAGGAAGAGCGGGTGGACCGCCACGAGACAGAACCAGAGCCAAGGCTGAAGGTGTAACCCTGTGACGACCGCTGCGTAGCCAGGTCGTCCACCCAAGAAGCGTCCGAGTGGCCAGTGAGGACAACTCTGTCGCGTCCTCCAAGCACCAGCCCCATGCCTGATGTACTGCACAAGTAGCGCAGCACCCTCTTAGCAGCCTCCCAGTGCTCTCGCCTGTGTCTCCCAGGCGCAACGTAACGAGCAAGGATGCTAAGAGGGTACGCGAGGTCAGGTCGCGTGCAAGTCATCAGGTACATGAGGCAGCCCACAAGCTCTGGGTACGGGCCACTCGGCTCTACGGACTCGTCCGGAGGTGGAGCTGAGAGCGAGTGGCTGGTAGCCAGAGGTGTGGCCTGTGGTGAGGAGAACTGGAAGCCGAAGCGCTGAAGGACCTGCTGCACCATGTGTGACTGAGTCAGGGTGATGGTGCGGCGAGCTCTGTCCCGGGTGATCTGCAAGCCAAGGTAGCTACGCAGCTCACCCAGGTCAGTGCAGGTGTGTCTCTTCTGCAGCTCCGACTTCACACGAGCGAGTGCCTCAGTGTCAGCAATAGCAAAGACCAAGTCGTCGACGTACACGAGAATGTAGAACGGCGGCAGCGACGTGTCTGTGCGCAGAAACAGCGACGGGTCAGCAGTAGACGGCGCGAACCCAAGAGCCGCAAGTGTAGTCCTCAGTGTGTCGTGCCACTCGCGTGGCGCCTGGCGGAGACCGTAGACTGGCCGGCGGAGGCTCCACTGGGTACCAGGAGGAAACGACCCAGTAAAGCCAGGTGGGCGGCGCAGCCAGATCTCCTCGTGCAGGCTGCCCTGCAGGAACGCTGTGCTGAAGTCAAGAGAGTGAAGCTCGTAGTCACGCTGAGCAGCAACGTGCAGCAGAACCCGAAGAGTGGTCATCTTCGGGGTGGGGGAGAAGGTCTGGAAGAAGTCGACCCCCTGACGCTGACTGAAGCCTCTAGCAACGTAACGAGCCTTGAAGACAGGCGGAGAACCTGGCGGCCGCTTCACCCTGAAAATCCACATGCCATCGACGATGTTCGCCCCAGGAGGGGGAACCTCGTCGACGTAGGTGCCTGTGGACTTCCAGGATGCCATCTCTGCGTCCATGGCTGTCTGCCACTGAGAGGAGTAGGGACCCGAGATCGCCTCTGCGTAAGTGCGCGGAGTGGGGATGTCTAGTGCATCCGGGTCTCCCTCAGGGGCAAGCAACGAGGCCACGAGATGAGGTACAGCAGCCGCGAGAGAGTCAAAGTCCTCCTGCCTGTCCTCAAGGACGTCCGTGCCAAGAGCACACTCACCCCCGACGGACGGAGGACAGACAGACGCAGACTCAGACCCAGCAACAAGGCGAGCAGCGTAGTCTAGACGACAGGCAGCAGCAAAGTCAACCAACTCAGCGACCAGAGCAGACGCAGCCGAGGACTCAAAGGTAGGGTCAGTGACAACAGTAGCTAGGAGACGCGTGACAGTAGGGTGCTCAGCACGATACCGGTCAGACTCAGGGTCCGGAACAGCAGGCAAAGAGGACGCAGGAGGAGACGGCAGAGGGACACGCTGAGGAGCAGTAGAGGGACGCAGAGTCATGTAGTGAGTGCCTGGGACAGGAGGAGGACGCTCACGACGGACACGACGACCAGTGCGAGCAGTACGGACAGGCGACGCAGGACGAGACTCAGGCTCACGACGCTCTGCAAGACCTCCTGTGGGACCAGTGTAAGGAGAGGGAGCAGGGAGAGGCGAGGTAGGCGGTAACTGTGACTGCGGCTGGACAGGCGGAGGACACTCGACGGAGGGAGGAGGACAAGGAGGAGGAGCCTGCCCAAGAACCTGCTGAAGGAGCGGTACGAAGTACGGTCGCGGCCGCTCAGCGTCTCCAGAAGCAGAAGAGACTCCAGCGGCCGGGTCCTCAGTACCAGCAGGAGCTCCAACGTCCGGGTCCCCAGCACCAGCAGCAGCGCCACCGCTCGGGTCCTCA